CTCTTGGGTGTATTGGCTTATTTTTGTTCTAGAGATTTCAGATGTGCTGTCAAGTTGTTAACGTATATTCTCTCCAGTTTCTTTTTGTAGGCACTTTTAGCTATGAGTTTTCCTCTTAGCACTGCTTTCATGGAGTCCCACAAGTTTTGGTATGATGTGTCCTAATTTTCATTGAATTCTAAAGAGTCTATAATTTCTTTCTTTATTTCTTCCTTGACCAACTCATCATTAAGTAAAGCATTCTTCAGTGTCCATATGCATGTGGGTTTTCCATTGTCCATGTCATTATTAAAGACCAGCCTTAGTTCGTGGTGATCGGATAGAATGCAAGGTATTATTTCAGTCTTTTTGTATCTGTAGAGGCCTGTTTTGTGACCAATTATGTGATCTATTTTGGAGAAGGTATCATGAGGTGCTGAGAAAAAGGTATATTCTTTTGTTTTAGGATGAAATGATCTACAGATATTTCTTGAATCCATCAGGTTCATAACTTCTGTTAATTTCACTATGTCTCTGTTTAGTTTCTGTTTCAATGATCTGTCCATTGCTGAGAGTGGGGGGGTTGAAATCCTCACTATTATTGTGTGAGGTGCAATGTATGCTTTGAGTTTTAGTAAAGTTTCTTTTATGTATGTGGGTGCCCTTGCATTTGGACCATAGATGTTCAGAATTGAGAGTTCATCTTGGTAGATTTTTTCCTTTGATGAGTATGAAGTCTCCTTCCTTATCTTTTTTGATTACTTTTGGTTGAAAGTCGATTTTATTTGATGTTAGAATGAGGACTCCAGCTTGTTTCTTGGGACCATTTGCTTGGAAAATTGTTTTCCATCCTTTTACTCTGAGGTAGTGTCTGTCTTTGTCACTAAAGTTTGGTCTTCTCATTTTGTTCTGGATTTCCTGGATGTTTTAGGTTAGGAGCTTAATGCATTTTGCATTTTCTTTGACAGTTGTGTCAATGTTTTCCATGGTATCTTCCGCACATGCGAGTCTCTCTTCTATCTCTTATATTCTGTTGGTAATGCTTGCATCTATGACTCCTGATCTCTTTCCTAATTTTTCTATCTCTCTTTGAGATTTCTTTATTCTTTCTATTTCCATTTTTAGATCCTGAATGGTTTTGTTTAATTCCTTCACCTGTTTGGTTGTGTTTTCTTGCAATTCCTTAAGAGATTTTTGTGTTTCCTTTTTAGAGGCTTCTATCCGTTTACCTGTGTTCTCCTGTACTTCTTTAATGGAATTATTTATGACCTTCTTAAAGTCCTCAATCATCATCATGAGAAGTAATTTTAATTATGAATCCTGCTTTTCCTGTGTGATGGGGTGTTCAGGGCTTGCTATGTTGGGAGAACTGGGTTCTGATGATAACAAGTAACTTTGGTTTCTCTTGTTTATGTTCTTGTACTTGCCTTTCACCATCTGGTTAACTCTAATGTTACCAGTACTCACTGTGTTTGACTGGAGTTTGTCTTTCCAGTTATCTTGCTTGTGTCAGAACTCCTCAGAGTCCAAATATCTCTGTTATCCTGTGACCCTAAGCTCCTTGTTGGAAGAACTCCTGGGATTCAGGCTGCCTCTGGGATCCTGTAATTTTGCTGCTCTCAGTGCAGGATGGTTCAGGATATGGTGTCTCCACAGGAGAAGACCAGCTAGGTGTCTGCCCCAGCCCAAAGGACAAGGTGAGGGCCATAGTGGCTTTAATAGCCAGATACTGGAAGCAAACTAGATGTCCCTCAGCTGAAGAATGGATAAAGAAAAATGTGGTATATCCTCAAATTAGAATACTATTCAGCTACTAAAAACAAAGATATCATGAAAGTTGAAGGCAAATGTGTGGAACTACAGAATATCATCCTGAGTGACATGACCCAGACCCAGAAAGGTATGTATGGTTTGTCCCAATTTTATAGTCTTTAACCCTCTTTTTCTTTCCCCTCTCTCTCCCCTATTTTTCTCTGTCTCTCTCCTCTCCCTCTCTTTCTCTCCGTCTCTCAATCTCATAAAAATATAAAAATAAACAAATTTTAAATACAGCAAGATAAAAAGAAGTACTCTATAGATGTTCTACTGTAAAAACATGAGAATTTTATGAATACTTTGAAGACTCCGCAATATCAAGGTTTTCAAGAAACAGTGCATTTCACTTTGTGATTTTGAGCAAAAAGAGAAATTATTGGATTTTTTGCAATAATGAAAAGATATGACTTCCTCTTGGTTAAAAAGTGGATTTACACCACTGAGTAGCATTCAAGTAAAATCTACAAATGTCCTTCAGAGTTCAGATCAAGAAAGACATATGTAGGGAACAGAGATCATTGTGAGCAAGCAGTCACCCCTTTACAATTCCAAAATCCAATACTGAGCCATCAAGATACTCTGGAAGCAGAAGAGTTGTCCCACTGTGTCATATTTAGGGCAGGGAGTATCTAATATCTCAGTCTACACCGTCTGAAAACAGATAGAAACTCAAAAGATTCTCCAACACATAACAAGGACACTTTCTCTACTATGTTCATAGCAGCTTTATTTACAATAGCCAGAAGCTGGATAGAACTCAGATGTCTTTCAGCAGAGGAATGGATACAGAAAATGTGGTATATTTAAAGAATGGAGCACTACTCAGCCACTAAAAACAATGACTTCATGAAATTCTTAAGCAAATGGATGAAATTAGAACTATCATCCTAGTGTGTGTGTTTATGGATATGTTTTTGATACAGCATGAATTTAATGATATAGGTCATTTGCTTTTAAAACATTTATTGTTAAGTGTTATCCTGTGGCATTTTATAGTGGGAAACAAGAGTGAGCCTTAAATTTTGAGGGTTAGAAACAATGCATTCAGTTTTTCCAAAGGTGGAACATATAGGCCTTAGGTATTGCACACTTTGCTATGTTTTTAGGGTAGATCATCCCATTTTTGACACAGGACTTTTCCCTTTTGTGTCATGCATTGTTATACTTTACATCTTCTCTATATTCTTTTCCTTGGGAGCATTTTTGTATTACTAGTATGAATTATTTTCTGTCAGGTACCATGAAACTCTCTGTGACAGAAATTTTAATTGATTTTTCACTTTAAAAAAAAAGAAAAAGAAAATATCATCCTGAGTGAGGTAACCCAATGACAAAAGAACACATATGGTGTGTACTCACTGATAAGTAGATATTAGCCCAAAAACTTGGAATACCTAAGATACAATTCACTGACAACATGAAGCTCAAGAGGAAAGAAGATCAAAGTGTGTATACTTTGATCCTTCTTACAAGGGAGAACAATATACTGAAGGGAAGAAATATGGAGACAAAGTGTGGAGCAGAGACTGAAGGAAAGGCCATCCACAGACTGCCCCACCTGGGGATCCATCCCATATACAGACACCAAATCCAGACACTATTGCAGATGCCAAGAAGCACTTACTGGCAGAAGCCTGATATAGCTGTCTCCCGAGAGGCTCTGCCAGAGTCTGACAAAAGGAGAGGCTTACAGCCAACCATTGGACTGAGCATGGGGTCCCCAATGGAGAAGTTAGAGAAAGAAATGAAGAAGATGAAGGGGCTTGTGACCCATTGGAAGAACAACAGTATAAACCAACCAGACCCCCAGAGCTCCCAGTGACTAAAACATAAACAACAGAGTACTCATGGACAGATCCATATCTCCAGCTGCAAATGTAGCAAAGGATAGCCTTGTCAGACATCAATGGGAGGAGAGGCCCTTAGTGCTGGGAAGATTTGATACCCTAGTGTAGGAAAATGCCAGGGCTTGGAGGTAGGAGTGGTTGGATGGGTGGGAGAGCACCCTCATAGAAGCAGGAGGAGGTAGGATAGGATAGGGGTTTCTGGAGGGGAAACAGGTAAAGATGACAACTTTTGAAATGTAAGTCAGTAAAATATCCAATAAAAAAGAAAACAGATAAAAATACTTCAGAGGGATATGTGGCCTCAGAAACAAGGACAGCACAAAACATACGTTCTTTCCTTTGTGGATCCTATATGTGTTAAATGTTCAGTTTGTGTGTGTGTGTGTGTGTGTGTGTGTGTGTGTGTGTGTGCATCTGTGTATACATATACATGTGGATGTGTGGATGTGTTTGATATTTTTTGTGTATACATTTGTATGTGCATGTATGTGTGCACATATATGTATGAGTATATGTACATGAGATAGAGACTTAAATGGAGAAGAGAGAGGGACAGAGAATGAGAGAAATAGAGAGAGAGAATTAGAAGAGAGACTAGAAAGAAAAATAATAACAGAAAAGGAAAATGGAAATAAGTATGTTTAGTAGATAAGGTCAAAATACATGATATACTTGAAAGATATCACATAATGAAACATGTGTATATTGAATGCACATCAATAAAAACTCTTAAGGGGCAGCAAGATGGCTCAGGTTGCAAAGACACTTGCCACCAAGCTTGATTTCAACTGATTATCACAAGAATCCACATGGCAAAAAGAGTCAAGTCCAAGTTGTTTCCAGACCTTCAAATCACAGCATTGTACATATTCACCTACAGAGAGAGAGAGAGAGAGAGAGAGAGAGAGAGAGAGAGAGAGAGAGAGAGAGAGAGAGAGAGAGGCAGGCGGAGAGAGAGAGGTGCACACATCCACATAAAGATTAAACAAATACATGGAATAAAAATTAAAAGAGTTTGTGAAAAGAAAAAAATCAGAGAAAATACATACACAACTAAGGAAGAAAACTCCCTAGAAGCTAGAAAAAGCAAGAAAATTTTCCTTGCCTGGAGTCAACAAGCCAAAATGCAATTTGCCAACATCACTACCTCAGACAATGGAGACTTAGGATTGATACCAGATTTATAGAACTAAAAAAGGATAAACCCCTCACCTTCAAGCAACAGAGTTTGTACTAAATTGTTACAGAAGGACTACAAAGATAACACTGAGTTCTTTTCTCCATTTTGGTGCATAGACTTTTCATACCAAAAGATCTAAGAGACACTGGACACATTACATTGTTGCTGGGCTCTGCAAATTTTTCCTCTGTTTTTCAGGCACACCAGCTCTCAGGCAGAAGGAGGAGTGTGCAGGCCAGGGCTGGGTGATGCAGACAGCTGGTGAGACTCAAGAAGGTTTGTGTAGGAGGCTGAAGCACTGTGGGAGGAGTCTCTAAATGCTGTTGACAGAAATAAACTCCCACGTCTTCAGCTTGCACATTGCTGATAGTGAGAGTGAAATCTGTCCCAGATCCACTGCCTATGAAGCGATCAGGGACCCCAGGTTGCCTAGTGGATGCCCAGGTGATCAGTGGTTTAGGAGTTTGCCCTGGTTTCCACTGGTGCCAGACCAAACAGCTCCTTTGGTTTCCAATCCATAAAAGACTCTGACTGGTCTTGCAGCTAATAGTGGCCTTCTCTCCTGCAGACACAGCCAGGGATGATGAAGACTGGGTCATCACAATTTCCCCACAGGTACCTGCAATAATGAGTAGATGGTGAAAATGCATACATGCAGAAGCATAGATTAGAATAAAAAAAGAGATTGGTTATAAATCTGTAGTTCTCAGATTAAAGGATTCTCCCTTGATACCTAAATACTGATTTTCCTTGTAACTGTGTTCAAAATGGGAAATCTACATAAGAACTGTGTACTGTTTTATAGTTTGTGTTAAAAAATTGCAAAAAATAAAAATGAGTATTTAAAAAAAGAATAATAGTTGAAATTTGTCAATTAAATGACCTTACAATGTCATATTGTCAGAGCATTATTATGTAAGGAATATTCTACACTGGCACATATTATAAATTTTTTATATACAAAGATGTGACTATGAACATATTATAATACTTTAAACTTCTCACCAGATACACATAACAGCAGGAACACGAGAACCTGGGTCAGTGATGCCATCTTGCTCCCCCTGCCTGCCTGATGCAGTTCAGTCACAATGCAAAGGTCTGGTTTATAAACCCTGAGCAGCTGGGCTGGGCTCGAGGAACCCATGCAAAGCAGACAGAAAATAAAAAACAAATGCCTGGGCAGTGCAGGAGAGTAGCTGATGTCAATCAGCAGGCAAAAATATCATCAAAGAGAGCACAAGTAAACGCTGAAAGTGATTGGCTTCCTTATCTCCAACAGAAATCTACTATGGGATCTATTAGGTTTGAGTTAAAATTCAAGACAAATTTAAATCAGGTGACTTTTGTAGAAACTTTAGGAGAGCTGTCTCAGATTAACCATTCTAGAAAACATGGTAAGATATGCTGAGAAAAATCACAAGAACACAAGAAAGAAACAGAATAAGAAAAATGTCCTATAAAAGATAGTAATGGTGGAGAAAGGGAAGGAGGGAAGTCAAAAAAATTGAAGACAATGTGTTCATTGTCTCCCATCTCCATATCCACTCTTATAATGAGAACATGAATAGTAGCCTCAGACATTGGGCCCAAACTTCCAAGATATACATGGGACAGAGATGCAAGAAGAAGTCCGAATTAGCTCTGTGGAAATTCTGGCGGACATGAACCTAGTCCTAGGATCAGAGAAGCTTTAATCTCAAAGTAAAGGCAAACCCAACAGAAACTAACGATCATGTTTCATACAACTTCAGGGAACTTAATGAGGGTTCTAACTTTGGAGAAATGGTGGAGAATAAACCAAACCAGGTTTCTTCACCTCATCATGCCTAGACACCAGCAATACCAAAGTGGTTTATTATCCAAAACCATATTCTAGAAAAGTCTAGTGATTGACAGAATTAAAACTTGCTAAATACGGTCTTGCTCACTCTTCAAAAATTCTCCAGTAGGGGGCACAGCCACCTGAAATCAAGTAGTAGTTTTACAGAGACCAGTAGTCCACAATATCAGAGATTGTTCACATTCAAAGGGAAAAAAAATGTTTGAGTGTGAAGGAAGATCAATAGCAATAACAAACATGAAACAACCACCTGAATTCAGGTTAGTGAATTATGAGAGTATATGTAAGTTGAATTTTAAATCTAGTATTATGTGTAAAGTACAAGAAACAGAATATTAAATGAAATACCATGACAGAGTGAGATTCACATCTGTATCCCAGAAATAGGAACACAGAAGCAGGAGAACCATGAGATTATGGCCAGCCTGTGGTACATGACAAGTTCTAGGTCAGTCTAGTCTATGCACAAAGACAAGCTTTTGAAATGTACATCTTTAGCCAACTGGTTACAACACAGCTCATGGTATTTGATATCCAAAGTAAATTGTTCATCTGATATTAATGTGCTAACATTAAGCCAGAATATTATTGAAATTAAGTATGCATTTAATCAATATGCATTTTCTTCTGTTTTGATTCTGTTTTATATATTTAATAATATATAATTTTAAAACTTTTCAGGTATAAAACATTAAATGATTTGTGATAAGCATGTTCAGATCTCACTGATAAACCACTAACATACCAACATAATACAGAGATGATTTGTAGATTAAGAAAGCTCCCAATCGACACCAATGGAGGAGTTAGGGGAAGGACTGAAGAAGTTGAAGGGGTTTGCAATCTCTTAGGCAGGCAGAACCACAATATCAAACAATCAGGCCCTTCAGAGCCCCCAAGAACTAAACCACCAACCAAAGAGTACACATGGAGGGACCCATGGCTCTAGCTGCATATGTAGCAGAGGATGTCCTTATCTGGTATCAATGGAAGGGGGGGTCCCTTGATCCTAAAACGGCTCATCTTAGGGGAATGCTAGAACAGTGAGGCAGGAGCGGATGGGTGGGAAAGCAACCTCATAGAAGTAAGGTTAGGGGGTATTGGATAGGGGTTTGCAGAGGGGAAACCTGGAAGAGGGATAACATTTGAAATGTAAATAAACACAATAACCAATTTTTTAAAAAGCCCCCAACCTCTGGTGTTGGCAGGCCTGGTAGTCCCTGAGTGCAACAGGCCTCCAGGGATACAGGTAAAGCTGAGAGTCTCTTGATGACAGAAAACCACTTGAGATTGCAAGTATAGCTGTTTGTCCTGAGTGGCAGCGGAATTCCACAGATTCAGGCAGAACTGGTAGTAACTGATGGCTTCAGGTCTCTGGATGCTTCAGGTGGCAGCCTCTTGAGATGCAGGCAAAGCTGGTAGTCCCTAATGGCTGCAGCCCTCCGGGATTGCTGGTAGAGGTGTAGACAGAGATGGAGTACAGAGGGCACGGCATACTTCACAGCTGCTTGGCTTGCTGCAGGACACAGCAATCAGGAATTGGGGATGGGGATCTTACCTGGTGTCCTGAGTAGCAGCAGGCCTCCAGGGAAAGCAGGCAGAACTGTAGCCTAGGACATGAAGTGTAGAGGAGATGGGGGAACTTGCTTCTGGATATTCCTGGAGGGGCCAACAGGCAGGGAATTAGGGTTACAAGTCTCACCTGGTATCCTTGATGGCTGCAGGCCTCCATCATTGTAGGTGGCTGTGTGGACCTGAAAATGGAGCACAGCATGGAAAGGTCAGACCTCTCTGCTGGTGGTCATTCTGGAGAAACCAGCAGGAAGATGGGGAAAATAATAAACGGTGGAGGGGAGCCTAGTATAACTCTCCTCTGACAGGCTCCACCCAGGAGCTGACCAAAACAGATTTAGAGACCAACAGCCAAACATTAGACAGAGTTCAAGGAGTCTTGTGAAAAAGTTAGAGAAAGGATAGAGGACCCAGAGGGGATTGGGACCCCATAAGAAGACCAAGAGCCAACTAACCTGGTCCCTTGTGAGGCTCCCAGAGGCATAACAGCCAACCAAAAAGCATTCATGTGCTAGACCTAGCACCTTCCAAACCTTCCCCCACATATATGTAGCAGATGTGTAGCTTAGTATTCATGAGTCTCCCAAATGAAACAAAAACTCTCCCTGACATAGTTGCCTGACTGTAGATCCTGTTCCCCTAACTGGGCTGCCATGTCTGGCCTCAGGGGAGAGGTTATACCTAGACCTGCAGTGACTTGATGTGCCATAGTGGATTGGTTCCCAGAATGTGGTAGGGACCTCCCCTTTCTCAGAGGAGAAAGGGATTGGGATATGGGGGAAGAAACTATGTAGGTGGACTCTGGGAGAATATGGGTCTGGAATAGGGATGTAAAATGAAATAATTAATTAATTAATTAACAATAATAGTCCCCAATCTCAAACTGAAGAATATACCAGATGAGCAACAATCCCCATCAGTGTCTAGCAAATTGTCATGTACTCTTAATTTTGCTAAACTTTATACTTCACTTTGTGACAGTTGCAGTGAGCTCAGACTGTGCTTTCATGTCATTTACTGCTGTTCAATTAGATTAGACATATGGAGACAGGGGTCAGACAAATCTGAATATTTCTTCAGTTAAACATGGGCTTCTCACAATGTGTAATGGGAGAGCATAGGGATTTGGAAGGTAAACATTTACATGTTTTGTACATACAATAAAAAACCCTTAAAAAATTAAAGTCTTCAAAACAATACTTGGTTATACATATGCTATATATTCATATATATTATATCAACATATATTTATGTGTTATGCATAAATATTCCATGAATATGAAGTTAATGTTGATTCCTTTTGAGTGAAAATAAAATTTTTGTACACTATTTTCTGATCATGGATTCTCTTCTTCAGTTCCTCTTACATCCTTCTTATCTTCCCAACCATCCATTTCTATGCCTTCTTTCTCTTTAGAAAAAAAGACTAGTAAATATATATATATTTCTCAACTGAGGAATACTGAATGTCTGAGAAGTGCCTAAAGAAATGTTCAACATCCTTAGCCATCAGGGAAAAACAAATCAAAACAACCCTGAGATTCTACCTCACATCAGTCAGAATGGCTAAGGTCAAAAATTCAGGTGACAGCAGATGCTGGTGAGAATGTGGATAAAGAGGTAAACTCTTCTACTGTTGGTGGGATTGCAAGCTAGTACAATCACTTAGAAATCAGTCTGGTAGTTCCTCAGAAAATTGGACATAGTGTTACCTGAGGACACAGCTATACAACTTCTGGGCATAAACCCAAAATATGCTTCAACATATAACATGGACATACCCTCCACTATGTTCATAGAGGTCTTATTTATAGAGGCCAGAAGCTGGAAAGAACCCAGATGTCTTTCAATAAAGGAATGGATACAGAAAATTTAGTACATTTACAAAGTAGTACGAAGCAGCGGTTATAAACAATGACTTCATGACATTCAAAGGTGAATGGATGGAATCAGGAAATATCATCCTGAGTGAGGTAATCCAATAAACAGAGAACACAGATGTTGTGCCCTCACTGATAAGGGGATATTAGTCCAAAAGCTCGGAATTTCCAAGATACAATTCACAGACCACATGAAGCTCAAGAAGAAGCAAGACCAAAGTGTGGATACAAAATACCAATGGGAGGAGATACAGAGACAAAGTGTGTAAGGAAAGTTCATCCAGAGACTGCACCACCTAGGTATACATCCCATATTCAAAGGATCGATCTGCATATGTAGCAAAGGATAACCTTGTAGGACTTCAATGGGAGGAGAAGCCCTTCGTCTTCTGAAGGTTAGATTCCCCAGTGTAGAGGAATGCCAGGATCGGGAAGCAGGGGTGTGTGGTTGGGTGGGGGAATGCCCTCATAGAAGCAGGGGGATGGGATAGGGTTTTTTATGGGAAACCAGAAAAGGGGATAACATTTGAAATGTAAATAAAGAAAAATCTAATGAAAGATTTTTAAAAGAAAAATAAAAAAGAAGTGCAATGTGAATATGACCTGGAACAAATTGGCTTTTAGCTTCCTCTTGGACCCATGATTGTAATAACTCTGTGGTAATCATCTTTGCAGGCTACTACAGGAATTTTTATGTTCTCATCATATTCCAGAAAAACAGACAGACAATATTAGAAGTCTCATTTGATAGCCCTTTATCCTCCTTAATCAATG